AATATGTCTGTTGAGTATTACTTTTTGTATCATTTGCATAGTATTCGTTTGGGATTATAAAAGCCATCTGCTCTTTTAAGGGAGTTGTAATTATCAAGTGAATCCAGTGTGAAGTTTCAATGCAGAATAAAATCTGCAGAGATGAATAGAGAGTAAAAGAAGTTCTGCGCTGTCATTACTGTATTATTGAGAACAAACGTTTCTTAGTAAGATAATATATGCAAGCATACTTTGCATAATTAGTATTAATGAAATGCCTTGAGGAACAGAAAAACCCCATGTGAAAAAAAATGTCACATGTCTGTCTGGAATAGTCTGGTAGCTTCTTCATATCATGAATGTAAGAGATAGTCTACTTCGATCTCTGTAAGTTTTTTTCTTTTGTTGTTTTTTTCTCCCTGCTTTATTGAAGCACTGCTGCGCATTATAGGACAAAATTATCCTCAGCAGTGTTTTGAGGTTAACATGAATAGTTCAGATTTTCTCACTTCATGGTGTAAAATTGTGTTCTGGAGAATGCTTAATCACAGCTGGGTTCAAAGAGTTCTAACAGGTTTAAATGTTTTCCCAGCTTTTTATAGCCATTATCACGTTCCCTTGTGTCTTAGTGGTATTGTTTGGGTTTCTTGTTTAAAGGTTTTACTGGTGTTATTTTTCATGTGCTCTATTTTTAAAAAAAGTTTTTTTATGTGTACTCTACTTAAAATTGAAGTTGACTATGTCAACATTGAGGTGATTGCCATATTATTTCTTTAAGTATTAACCTAATGTTTTTAGATCCTTTTTCTTTGGCCAGGATTTCTTGTACGGTTTCTTAATTTATAAGGAAAGTTATATATGTTTGATTATGATGACTTTGTTTTCATAGCTGGAATGAATGGCTAAAATTACCTGTAAAGTACCCTGACCTTCCCAGGAATGCCCAAGTGGCTCTGACTATATGGGATGTGTATGGACCAGGAAAAGCAGTACCTGTGGGAGGAACCACAGTTTCACTCTTTGGAAAATACGGGTAAGTATTTTACTCTTCTAATTTAGATGAATGTTTTAGGTTTCTGACTGTTTACTTTTTAGGAATGCTTTCATAGTTTATGCTTAATCTAGGTGCTAGGAAGTGAAATCCTGTTTGGTATGTATGATGGGCTTATTCCTGGGACTGAATTTGATACTGCTGGAAAATCAGTTTCTATTTCTCTGGCACCAGATGTGTCGATATATCCAAATTTTATTATCGCTTCTGTTCCACTTCTGTTCTGACATCAACAACACGTGGAGCACTTCTTCCTTTGGCCCTAACCACTGGAAGCTAGGCCAGACCCCATAGTCTTCCAGACTGCCAAGTCTGCCCAAGACCTCAGATGCCAGCCACAAACTTGGAGTTTCCAGGACATCATCACTTTTGACGTGCTAACTACAAATTGAGGGTTTTTCCACTACCCCCTCAGGATACTAGCTGTAAGCTTTGGAATCCCAAGGGAACCCTCACTTCTGACCTGCTGGCTCTTGCTTCTCCCTTGTCTTAAATAATTCACTTGGATAATTATAGGAAAGCATTGTATTTACCATTACAGTTTTATTACAGCAAAAGAGATACTAATGAAGAGACACATTTGATGAGGTTCAGGAGGATTCCTAGTGCAGAGCATCCAGGTCTCAAAAAGGAATGTGCTACCCTCCCACGTGCATCGATGTCTTTCACCAACCAGGAGGTCTGTGGTGCTGCTTTGTCCAGAGTCTTTATTGGAACATAGGCACAATTAATTGAATCATCTACCTTCTCCTGAGGTTGGCCTGATATTACATGATGGTCTTTCTGGCCTGGTTAGCCCTCACGTCTGTCACCTCATTAGCATAAGCCCTTAGGTGTGATCTGGAGCCCTTCTAGGTAAAAGACACTTAAATCACTGGAGAAATTTTCAAAGTTTTAGAGGTTATCTCTCAGGAACCATGAACAAATACCAAATTTCCACAGTATATGCA